CACATCAGGTTTGTGGTTGTGGGTTCAGCGGAGGGCAATATATTTATAATTGAGTTGTGGCATTTATCTTTCGTGATTGCCGATTATCAAGAGGACCTGGTTTCAAAGTTCAAAGTGGTTCGCGTGTATATTGCAAAGCAAGTCAAGCTGCATACAGTTCCACGGATAAGCTCACTTGAGCAATTTCCCTGCTCTACTACCATCTAAAACTGCTCTTGTAGCCCGCTGCACGAGAAATGTTATAAGCTTGTTTGAATTAAAGTTTCAGGTGGAGACAGTTGTAGAAACCTTTTTCCTAGAATATTCGAGACTCGTCAACACCCTGACCTTGGTGAATATCTTTGCAGAACGTATTTCGTGCCCATTTGATTGCTTCCCTCCCAAAGCGGAAAGCGCAATATATCCCAAAAAGAACACAATAAATCTAAAACGCGGTAGAAACATTAATTGTCAATCTTTGAGTTTCTATGACAACTAGGTAACCTTAAAGTCACTCAAAAACCTCTTAGTTTTCGATAGCCAGCGCTAAATTTAGCTGCACGAGCGAGGCTTCTTTATTTGAAAGCACCAATATAATTTTAAAGAAGCTTTTGAGAGATGTAAGCTTGATCGATATTGACGATGTTTCGAGGTTATTGAGAGGCCCCTTAATAACGATCGTTGGAGTGGAAAATTGTAATTACATGATCATCAATAGCTCAAACCCACATCGTAGCTTGGCTCAAGTAATTTTCCTTTTAGGCCAATAATTAAGCGGAGAAATGACTTTTTTCCATAACTAATGATATCGAAGGGGAGGTCCGTCTTAAGTTTCATCACGATAATGTTTTGACTTGCGCCTTTCTCTCTTATCGATGCGTGAATCAAACCTCAAAGTTAGAGTATACATGTATATTTGCCCACCAGCGATTAATGATCTATATAGTCACAGTTTATCAGATAATACTACTGTCGAACCGCAAGCACACTATAGACGATAACTTTGTAAAATCCACTAAGAACAAGCTCATATCTTTCCAAATAAGGTTATACACTGTATCCGTTCCTTATTGATGCATTAAATAACGCTTTGGCAAAGATTTTGTCTGATAAACTTCTCAAACACTTTATTCAACCAACACTAACCACCATAATGAACAATATATAGTTCATAAGAGTTAAACCCTTTCGGGCACGAGATCGGCATTGCAATTCTCCTTGGTTCAGATTTTGATACTTGTTCTTAGAATTTTAAATTAACCACACAAGCACTGAGTGAATTTCTGAGGAGCACGATCCTCGTTCTCCCTAACAGTGTGTTACCTTGTAACCAATTGAACAATTCTAATTTTTCTTTTCTGTGGGGAGATTTAAGTATTGTTTGCTGTTTTTTACGAACTTCATCATCAAGAACTTTTTTTATTTTGCCTCTCACATTTCCTCTCGAGGCTCGGCCTGGTGCCATCGAACATTCGTAATGCACAATTCTTGCCTCCAACTGAGATCACATACGAATGTCTAGGACGGGTTGGACTACAATTACGAGATTTATATTCAAGTTTTCAGCAAAATTCAACAAAAACACCAACGAAAATATATTCTTCGCTCCTATAGAGCGATAAAGTTTGCACAGGTATTACTATCAGACGTAACTGGGCTCTATCCTAATTGAAATTAAATAAAGAGACTTTACAACGACTTAGATGATGGTAGCTTATTTTTGCCACGAGCCATTTTCGCAGAAGCTCATTCTGTAGTGCTAATGACGAACGCCGGTTAACACTCGAGAGGTCAGCTTACAAACTCTTTACGGTGGCCAATTTACGTTTCCAACTCAGTTAATAAAACCAAATTATCTTGTTATAGTGCTAATAGCTATCCGTGTTTTTTTTTTAGCCAAAACAATGCAGGTTTGCGCGCGCCAAATATTCCACTATTAAAGAATCTCGAACGTGGTCGTATCCATCTTAGTGTGTCCTTGTGGATAAATTAAACATTCACTCATGAGTCAAAGTGATAATTGCTTTAATTGACAGCGCAAACCATCATGTGTAAAAACAATGATTGTGCTTGATTTAAATGATAATAAAAAGCTTTTAAGGTGAACAAAGTTCACTGAGTGAGTTTTTAACGACGTGCCGAGCTACATGTCCGAGTTGGTGTTTGAAAACAGGAAAGAATGCTGTAACATGAGAACTAGATACAAGACACTGTTTTTTTTACAAGATAGTCTAGAAAATGGTTGCTTCCAATGCTTTCTTGTCTAGGAGCTTGACTAGGGAATGTTTGATAAAATCTACCTTATAAACAAGATAATTTTTCTATCGATTCTTAAAATATTATTATTCCCTTCAACGTTTTTCTACTTTTGGAAAAGTAAAGGTTCGTTCTTTCCAAATTTGAATTTTTTTTTATTTTGCATCGTAAGATTGACGCAAGTCACTAAATTTTAATCATCAAATTGACAAAATTACCATCCATCTCTATATGTCATCATCAGAAGGTTCTAAAATGAGCCTAATTTATTCCATAAGGATGGTTTCTCTGCGTGACAGACGAGATCTTATGTTTTCAGACACTATTTATCAGTTCAGGTAGCGACGCATGAACGTGTCAATTTTGGACTACGCTCGCGAGTGAGTTAGACCAACACGCGCGAGCAACGCGTGACGTGCGCGAGATTCTTGCGTTCTTGCCTCGTAGGGTTATATCTTAGGCTTGGTACAAGGTTAGAAAGATCTCTTTGAACCAAAAAATAACGGAGCGCTTGCCGGTGCCACACACCACTGAAACGCGACAACTATTGTTGCCTGGTATGTGTTTGATGGAAAAAGCCAGAACCAGACCTTCAAGGTCGAAGTTTAAATTAGTATAAGCGCCCCAGAAATGGCCCAACCACACGTATAGATCGTATGAGCTATGACTCGGAACAAACAAGACAACATTTGTCTTTAATTTGGCAAAAATCAGCAGCCACAGGGCGTGGCTCACCCCTGGTGGGTTTCTCTGGTTCATTCTGGTATAAGGTACTCTCCATTGCATCCATCCAGGGGTGCAAGATGAAGTGATTACGAAATCTTACACATTGGTAGGGGGTACCCTGAAATAGAACCCCTCAGTGAGAGAAACAATACTAGTGACATTGGCTAAATCCCGGTATTAACAACCAACATCCGCCTGACCTAAAATCGCCGGCTAAAATTTTCGATGAAGTTGAGGCTCTTGATATGAAGGTGAGGGATTGTAAAGTGATCAACCCTAGATAAATGTTACAAATCATGAAGCTATGAGCGTTAAAATGCACTGGTATCTCTTTAAACTACCACGGCCCTTTCAACTAGAGACCAGTTTAATTCCAATCCAAGGCCACTGTGGGCGCTGAGGTCATTTTGGTGACAAAAAAATATACAAACTAAACTCAAACCACACAGGCCCGAGAGAGAAGGTATTCTTTAAGGTAGTTTGTGTCAATGAATATAAAGAGATTCTTAAAATTGGAGTAACAAGTGATCTTCCAGAACCTCTTACGTCTAAAGCCACTTAAAACGATAGAGAGCAAACGGAAGAAGCTTTCTGGGTATCATGATTAATACTTGCTAACAGAACTTTCTAGAACCATCACTCCGTTGGGTTCAAGAGACGCAATACTATTCATACTGGACCGTGTTAGTCGTGTTGTTCGTGGTTTAGAATTTTGATAAAAAATGATTACATCAAAGCAACAGTAAGACTGTTGTAAAACAAGGGAATTAGACTTCTATGGCTTCTCCCGATTTCATTGTACAAGTGTTGTTTAGGTGGAGCAAGGAGAGTTAAATAAAATGAGAAAGCAGACAACTCGATCACTGTGCACAGATTTCTAGTCACAGTGTACTTTAGTAATTGAAAATCATAAAATTATGATAAAACAAGAACTTTCAGCATATATATGTCCCTAAAAAAATGGAAAGTCTCGGAAGAAATTACTTTCATGTCTACGAACGAGCGTATTGAACGTTTACTTAAGGAATACCTTTACTTTATGGTGTATTTTCTATGATGCATATTGTGCTTTGAGAGGAATAATAGTGATAAGCAAAAGAGGAGTGGACAATTTCGATCATTTATTGCATGAAAAATATAAAAGTAAAAAATGAACCGGAAACGGACGAGCTCTGCCAAGTAAGAGTTTTAGAGCCCCAGGTCATGTTATAGGGTAACAGGGCTGGTGCTAAGATAACATCTTTGTCCACTTATGAGTCACGTTCAAAGATAAGATACGTGATCACTCTACGGTTGAATCTTTAAAACTATTGTGTAAAAGGATATTGATCTACAATGGGTTTTTGTATTTTGTATTTTTTTTTTTTGCCGTGAGAACCAGACAAGTATAAACGAAAAGAGTTTTATAATCCCCTAATTTCCGACGTGTTCTACCGTTTTAATGCTTTAGAACACGGACGTTCAGAGGCCTAAAGAAGATTGGTTTTAAATCGCAGAGATAATCCCTTTATTACCCTAATAGTGTGTGCATTTCGGCTAAATATCACAGAAATTTACACCTGCCGCTCAGATTGTGTATATGATCTCAGAAGAAGTTTGAATCTTTGACCTGTGTGCTCCTACAAACGACCAATAACATCAAACAGTCAAAGTGCTGATTCCTTAAAAAGATTTCTATAACAAAACGAAACACGATTTCGAGAGAAATCGGAAATGGGAGGTAACCACTTAATACTTGACGAGTTGTCGGCATTCTCAGATCATTCTCGCGGCTAACAAGCATCAAAATTTCACGGATTAGGCGGAGTCCTTAAGGATTTTACACATTCCACGAAATGAACGTTTCCTCAAATTTGGTATAGAGCCTAGAAAGAGATTCTACACACGATATGTCCTTAATAGGATTTATATTCTGGTTTCTATCTTATGTAACATCATGTTTGCGTGTGATACGAGCTGATATCTGCTCGTTGTTGTGGACAATTAAAGAGCAAGAATAAAAGGATATGTGCCCTGAAATCAATTTAATTACGTATTTCAAAATCACAAACAAAAGGAGCTAAACTTTTTGTGTGACTGTCAGCAGAGTTTCGTTGGAGCTTGTGAAGACTTAAACACTGTTTTAACTCTCTCTACCCAGCCTTACAGTTAGAGTCCACTACCGTGCATATTCAGAAGGTATGTGCTCCGATTATAAAAAGCAAATATCATGTCTTGAAACAAAAAGTTGTGGTTCTCATCACGAATTTGCCTATTGCTGTAGTGTTTTTCTACAAAAATTGATTGAAATCTATTCCATAGCTTAAGTTGTTGTCACTTAATTTCTAAAGAGACTTCATTTTTCGGAGAAGAGCTTTCATTTAAGGACGTTCGAGATGCAAAACTGGCTCGCAGCCTATGCTTCAAAGTGGTCGGCGCCGGTTCCAATGAAATTCAAGCACGCTCTCTTAGATCTAGCGTTAGTGAAATGAAAATACTAATCGGTTTTAACAAAACCGAAAATTACAAGATCACAAAGCGATGATAAAGAAAAAGACCGATTAGAATTTTAGTAGCAAACCTGTAGTAAATTAGGAAGCTTGACTTTGGCACTTAAATATGATTAAACTGAATTCTCCACAAGGACCTAGAGGACCCTAACTTGTACATAAGAACAATAACTATCAGCCTATCATTTATTTGAGGGCGTGATACTTAGATGTTTCCATTTGTGTAATAAATCCTTTACTCTTATCTAATGACTAAACCTGCGGGCCTAACGAGCGGAATATATGCAATACGTCCGATTTAAATAGCCAAAGTTTAATATAAAAATTACCTGATTTTTTTGTATGTTAAAGAGCGTTTAAGCGTTTCAATATCCTATTGAACTGAGCAAAGCGAGAAGGCTACACTATACGGTAACTGCTACTACTGCTTCCAGGCCTAAACGCAAGAGATGTCAATCCATCGTATGTCTCTCTAAATTGTCATTGTAAAATTGGTTTTCTTACTGAGGATAGACGGTACATATCTCTGACAGGACAGAAGTATTGTACAGGTAAAGTGTTTTCACCGAAAAAGAAAACATCGAGAGAACCTACACCACTCCATCAATCAAATATACACACCAAAACTGATTTTTTGCAAGGGTCCTGAATGAAATTCTTTTTCAAATTGGTACAGTTAAGATATGTTCTATATATTTTCAAAACGAGCAATCGCTGGTGTTCAAGTTTTGCCACAGCCTTAACATCGCAAAGGACAAAGGCTGCCTTAAAACTCATGCCCACCACTCAAAAGAACTATTCTCCCCTGAACAGTGGGTTCTCGTGAAAAATAAAACTGTTACTTACAGTATGTTAATAATCTGAATTTCGCTTTTTTCATCATGAAAATAAAAAGGAAACCATTAATGAGGACAAGCTCTCTATTCTAGTCTCCTTGAACGTTTAAAAATACAAGTTAAAGGAATGTGTTAATGCAGTTTGTTTTCTCATTACGTGACAACATGAAAATGTGTTAATACTAAAAGGAGAAATCAATTGATAATCTTGTATTGGGATGAGAATATAACATTTTTTAGTTCAACTATTGCTTGATCACTGAAACAGTGCTATATATAAAAAATGCTAGTAAAAATACTTGCGACATTTCCAAACAACAAAAATAACATGTTAATAGCATATCTTTCATTCAACTGGCTGGGCAGACGCTCACAATAGAAAATCGACTTTTACTGAAGCTTTAAAAGTGACTTAGTAAAATGAGTAAAAACCACTCACACCAGTGGCTCACTCTAACACATTGGGTGGCCGCATTTGGGAGGTGTAATATCACGTGACAACAAGATACTTCAAGTACAATGACACCACGTTGAAAACGGTAGATTTCTCGCAGACGGATTAAGTAAAGAGTCAGACTTCACATGCTCTCGGTCACGTTTAATAGGTATATGCTAATGCATGTCTTTTCTGAAAACAAAGGGTCTTTGATCAAAAAGTTGCCTTCGCCAAACCACAATCCTAAGAGCAGGAAGTGTTATTTAAAAGCACGTCATGGGAAGATTAGTTTAGTTCCGTTTCTCAGGTCTTTTAGCTTGGATTTAAGTGAAAAACATCTTAAGTTTCATTCAAGAAAAGAAACGCCCAAGGGTTTAGCAAGTCGTGCATTAGACGGGAGACGAAGGTGTTCAGTAATGACGCAACGTTCCAGACGTCTGCCATTCATGATGTCAATTAGTCAATCAATCACTTCACTGGACATTTAACCGGACATGGTTTCGTTTGACTGACGATCAAGGGACATAGTGCAATCAGCTGAAAGCTGAGTCATGTCTCATGAATTACGTAACAGAAGTGCCACAGAAAAGCGAATAGGCCGACCTACCACTTAAGACAGCAATGAAAGTCAAGTTAGCTAATTGTAGTTGTAGTAAATCATTCAACACTGAGGGACTTACAGATGTCTTTAATTATAACTGCTAGCCAACGTTGAAGCAAAATTTAACTGGCTAAAATTGGAAAGCCATCGAAGATTTAAGAAGGCTTATTTTCAAACCCATACTGGATCTATTTCTTATAGGAGCAAATCTCTAAGGAAAAAGCAATTTATCAACTTGTTGGGGCAAACCTAGGGTTATATACCTTGAATTTTTTTGACAAACGGGAAAGAAATAAAGACAAAGGAAAATCAAGTGAATTGTGGCGGCAGATCTATGTAACAGAGATTATTAAGAAATTTGTTGGTACTTAGTTAACACTTCTTCGAAAACCGGATAAAGCGCTCGGAAAACAGTCAATAAAGTTGTTTGGTAAATTTTAAAATGCTTATTTTAGCCTAGAAATAAAATTAGCTCGGGAACTCTTGAAGAAGGTCCCAAAAATCTCTGCAATGCTCATCAATTACATTAGATGTACTAATATTTTTCAGATATCGTGCAAGTTTTCGACAGATTGCCGTTCGGAGACAAACTCCTCGAGATTGTACTCAGGCTAGGAGTGGGAAGAGGTTAACTTTTTATAGGATCAAAGAGGTACCGCCGTAGAGAGGTTTCAAAACGAAGAAATCACAAACTAATGAAACTCTAAAAAAACTATGGATGATGTCTTCGAATGCACGCTCCCAAAGGTAAGCCATTCAAAAACTCACGCCACTTGTCACTTCCCCAATTGAATTCAAATGGTTTTTTACGTTTGGTCACGCGATTTTTTAAATAATGATACGACAGTTAGAATGGTGCTAATGGCATGTTTGCTCGGTGACTTTGCAAAAGATGAAATAACTTTTCGTGCGTGGAAACTAATTACAAAAACGCTCTCAAAGCAGTATGCACGTAATGCTAGCCGAAAACTACACCCAGCCATTTCAGCTCGATGATAAATTACGATAATTTAAGAACAATTTAACAAGCAAGGTTTCCCTTGGAATTTAACCAATGAATTCAAGACCACGAATTATATACGCTTCAAAGGACTCCTACTTAGCAATTTAAAAATATATATTTTTAGACATTTAATTACAACGTTCCGGTTGAAAGCGTATCGTTGCTCATACAATGGCACGCGAAAACTTAATTGAAATGCAAATATTATGCATTTTAATTGCTGCCGACTTTTTATAAGACTGACAGCTTAAGTACGTTCTTCGCTTAGTGTCGTGGAGAGACCCAGTCTGGAAACATGCAACTCTTGGCCAGTGTTAACCCTTGCGACGAGGTAAGAACGAGACTGCTCTGAGTACTCTTGTTTCATTCGCCTCCATAACTACACATGAATTATCAAGCGGTAATATTATCGGTATCATTAGGTTCCTTATTTTCCTCCCAAAAAAATTGGGCAGAAAACCATTTGAAGCGGGCTAGTGAAGTATCTTGCCATTCACTGTAACAGTGTATTCCTCAATCAAAATCCTTGACGTTCTGTCAGGTGTAATGTACCCAAAGTGTTTTCCTCTTTAGACATTTTAGCAAAGGAATAGCCGGAAAAGATCCATGAAGCTTGAGCAGATTGAACTGAAATCTATCCAAAATGACATAAGATGTATACTGAGTGAAGTGCAGACTTTTAGGCAATGCAGAACTACCGTTAGAAATTCGTGTCGCAGAACTTTCAAACTCACTAGAAAACAAAAGCCGGTATGTTTGAGGCAAAGGTAACCCACAAGTTTAACCGGATTAGCTGCTACAGGGACCAATATCGGAGACAATCAACAAAACTCAAAAAGCCAAAAACTTGAATTATTAAAAGCCTTGAAAAATGAAAAAACTTCCACAACCAGAGATTATTAGTACCTGGAGATAAACAGTTCTAGTTTTTTCCTTACATCCAAATATGTCGTTCTCTTCTAAAAGCCTTCCTGCTTAAAGTACTGAGGTTAAACAGTGGAGTGAGGTCATGGGAAGGGAAAGTTTTGATTTTGGCGAAAATTGTATTGTAAGTTAGGTGAAATGTGATGAAGACACTTCAACTCACTTTGATTTTCTAGTGCACCAGAAGATCGACTTCTCAAGAACACACAAATCTGTTTCCTAGGTTTAGTTATAATTGACATACGATCAGAGTACCTTGCCTGACCATATGTGGGTGATCAATACGACCTGTAAAGCTTAAATCCACTAACACGCATGTCGCAAATGTTGCTACCCGAAAACTAAACATCGATTTCCGACGATACACACTTCAAACGAACAACATATTCCTTCTTGGCTCAATTTATAAAAAACCTAATTGCTGTTCCAGTCGTGAAACCCCAGTCCCCTCCCCCTTGATTTGCTCCATCGTGACTATGCAAATTTTCACCAATGGTTCTTCAGTGTAAAGGATGACTGTGTTTAACCTATGACGTAGAGGAGACACTTAACTACATCCGTGAAAAAATTAGGGCCTAAGAAAACTCACGAAAGCGCTGCAAAGTGAACTACTCCATAAGTGACATCGCGCCGTGATCCAATTGGCTAACCGAAGTTCTCAGTCTCCCACGTTGTTTAAACTGTGCGATAGTGTAAACATGATAAGATGTACCATTAAGATGAGATACATGGCCGAATTTTACCAGGAAAATGAACAAATAATAGTTTCACGCACTGATGCCGTGACTGCGCCAATTGTTTTGAGAGTCGCTTTGTCTTGAGGCAATGTTTCGCTTGGTAGATTGATTCGAGCGCTAGAGTACTAAGGCGGAAAAACAACGGCCGATACTTTAGTGACGGTAAAAACTGACTAAAACACGCCAAGTCATGGAAAACTGTTTAAAATATTTAAAAAAAACCAATCCACAGTTTCACGATAATCTGAGAGAAATATTGTATGACGAACTGATGTGGAAAAGCTGAGTGCGGAAAATATGCGAAGAATATTCAACAGCGGAAGCTTTTAGGGCGACCGACAAAATTCAATCGGATCTCTCGCCGTGAATTCATTCTGTAAAGTACTCTCAATATTCCTCAAAAAAAAAATAAGTATACGTCAATTACTCGGCTTCTTGTGCTTGCGGCGAGGTTTTCATAACTGGACTTTAAAAAGCCGCATTAGTCGATTCTTCCTTTTTTTTTTTTTTCTTTTTTGGATAAAAACACTTTGTAAGTTCTTCCTTCCTAGTGCGATGCGTTTGGTAGGAGTTGATCAATTAGGCTTACAACATACTCGGCATAACGTTCCAACGCACAATCAATTTTGAGAAAACGCGGGAATTTTCCATTCCTTTTTTTTCTTCTTTTTTTATTCACAGTGGTCACGATTTGAGACACTTTTTTTTCTCTTGAGCCTGATCTTAAAATTCAGCCAATCACTGGCGTCCAAAATAGAGAATATACTTATGTGTTTATTATGCGAGGAGACACTGTTTTGAAAATAAGAACCGAAATAGAATGAATTTTCACTCAGACACACAAAACAACTCGTATTATGCCGATTTGAACCTGAATGGAAATTTTACGTCTGGTTGAACAAACTTCTAGACCTCATCAGACTCTCAAGGTAATTCTGCTCTTTAAAATATTCTCATCTTAATACATATACTTTTAAGAGAGAGCGTTAATGGAAAAACAAACACGAACGTTCAAGAAAGTCGAAAAAGAAGTAACTTTCGCCGCTTTAAAACGCGGGTGCGACGGTCTACATCACGGAGAGTCTAAACAAATTTGTGTTTTCACTTGTAACCGTATTTTTCTCCATTACCTTTGCAAAAAAATCAGCGACTTTTGGGTAAATGAAAAATTTATTATGAGAGAGATCATTAAGGCCAGAGTGTGGCAAACCAAAGCTTTTATCTTTTTCAGCGCAGAACAAGTCACGCACATCCCGAACCTTACTGTATGCACCGGAAACGCGCTTTTGCGAATTGATACTTCTTGCTAGGTCAATGTTTCCGTCGTTTGCATGAGATATAAACCATATGCCAAGTAAATACGCCTGCTCATCCGACCTCGTATCGTCTGGCGGGGAAAATAAGCATCGAATGGTACATTGCTGTTTTTTAAGATCTCCAAATCTTCGAAGAGTGGCGAAAAATAACAAGAGGCTTTTCTCCTGTACTTTAGGTAAGATTTCTATCAAATTAGTCTGAGTGCTAAGTCAATTAGTTTACGGGGTTTTTTCCAGTGATGTTATCAAACTCGAAAAGAAATCGTGTATGTAGAAATGTTACGAGAAGCAGGGCTTTTATCACGGCAGGGACATCTCGAACTCGGAAGCTAGCATGTAATGGAGAGCTCACTTGGTGAGTTAATAGAAGTTCAACTCGTCTTTTAGCGCGGCACAGACCAGGTTCGCAGCTGCTTCAAATATTTGAGGCTTCCTGTCATTTTCGGAGTGCTTCCAAGTTTGCTTTTCTTATTCTGAGTAATTTATCGTGTGCGTAACGAGTTATTGTGTCATCAAGCCAGAAAAGCAACTGTACAGCAAAGAACCTAACAAAACACAAGAAATCGACCGCGAACAAGGAGGTTGTAAAGGTACAATTCGTTTATTCCTCTTGATATTGACACGACCAAGCCGAAAATACGACAATCTCGCGAGCTTCGGTTACTATTGAGTCATGTTCAGTTAATTCAAAGCGAGAGGTAAGCCTGGAATTTTCCATACCCCCGAAAAAGCTCTATTTTCGATAGGGTTATCGCAACAACCATCTGTTCCCATCTGTTTGCTGAAGAGGAAAAGTTTAATGCGATGCAAATATGTTTATTTGCGTTCGGCAACAGAAGACATCCTTTCTTTTCTTGTGCGCGTTTGAATGATCCACCCGGCGGAAGAAGATTTTTCATTGAAAATAAAACAGCTATTAAAGGAACGGATCTTGTAAGAGGCGGTTTGCTTTAATGGCTCGCTATCTCGCTTCGCCACAGGCAGAGGAGTGGTCGTTTCAGTATTGCCACAGGGATGATGAATAATAAACTTATCTACCGGTCGGTCTGATATACTTTGGTGTAAACTATGGGTAGGCGAGCGATCGTGGTTTAAGAGACGAGAGGTTATCGTAGGTTTAAGAAAGGTTTATGATAAACTGTCTGCATGTCACAGCTTTCTGAGGTGTTTGCGCGACAGCCTTTGCTTTTAGACACTGAAGAGGCTTTTATGTCTTATGACGAGAAGATGGGTAAAATATTAAACTAATAAACCTCAATTTGGTGCGAAAATTGCGCGTTTATGGCAAACAAATACCGGAAATGGTACGTAACTCAGCCTTTGTCAAAAACTGTCAAGCTCACGTCAGGTTTAATGAAACTCTTCAAATGCGCAGCTTAAATGAATGCGATTGTACAAAGCAATAGAGAGATCTTTATCAAACCACCTCGGGGCATTCGGACTTCTGGCATAGTCGTTTTGCCCCTAGGATAAGCCAAGACGGTCATTCAAAGGCCAGACCAATGACCATTAAAGACAGCGCAAAAAAAACGACCCTCCGCCTTTCAGGAACGTGCGCTGAGAAATGATTGGTGAGGCGGCGAAATTTAATAAGCCTTAATTAGTTTCCATGGCAACGGATATGAATAGGTGTCAATCAAATTGGGTTTCCTGCAGTAAAGCGGACCGATCACAGAAGTCAGGTGGTAGACTCTAGTGTTGCAGTTTAGCATTTCTATTGTTATTTCCACTCGTGTGTTAAGATAAGAGAAAGTCTGCCTCCCTTAAGTAATTTACATGCTTTTACAGCGTATTAACATCTCGGCGCGTTTGAACGAGGCCGAGCGCGGGTTTCACGGCAGAATCATTTGAAGCCAAGGTAACCACTATAACTGAGAACGTTCACCCAAGAATTTATTTTCCAATCATCGAGTGCTCAGCTTGCAGAAGTTAAAGGACAGCAGAGTTTCTTTGCTCATTTCACCAGTTGTTTAATCTTGTTTACTTTGTTATTTGAATGTTATAGGGGAATGTGGTAAGAGGAGAAAACACCGATCTTACCTTGAAAGATTATTCAGACACAGTCAAATACCTCGAACAACTGCAAGAAATCAATCTGAAAACCTTCACCGCAGAACTCGATAGAAAAGAAACTGGAATTTCAGAGGAGACAGCCAACAGGGCTCTGAACTCCCCTGTGCCTTTCAACAGCATAATGTATGGATCCAGAAGTGGGCTCTACGCAGGTCGAGTGTCAGGGCCAAAATTTTCGGGCGAAACACACGAAGACCCTGTAGCGTCAAGAATGAGAAATTACAGTAGAAGTTATGACTCTTTTGATCGCGCAGAAATAACTGGTGGCGCCGGCAATGGAAGAATGATTAATCCACCGGAGAGAAGTACTGCAGCCATGTTTGATTATCATTACACGGATCACAATACACATGGTGGAATGTCCACATCAAGCGGTGTTAAGTTGCCAAACGTGAACACCGCGCAAAATGGATTTGCCGCAGAAAGTGCTGCTATGCATTATTCTCAAGGTGCTGGAGGTGAATCTTTTCTTCCTTCTCCCCAGAACTGTCCACAGCCAGTAAACATTAACCCTCTAGCTGGCTTATCAGAGCTGGCCGAAAAGGCAAACTTTGTGTCTGAACTCGCCAGGGATGGCGTCGCTCAGTCTCGGTTTAGCTCTCAAGGAAGTCGCGGCCAAATAAATCGCCCGGCTCGTCAGTACAGCTACCCAGAAGCACCGCGTACTCGCAGTTGGTCAAGTTCGGGTTCTGATGGCGTTGGAAGTTACTTTAACGGCCGGCAACAGTCATTTCGAGCTGACAACTTCTCGCCATCCCTGTCAACAGGGAGTTCAGTGCTATCTGACTCGGATCTTGGCAGTCCATGCCATTCGACACGAGCACGGCATTTCTTTCCGTACAGCGAGTCTGATTCGGACCTTTCACCGACGGAACCGAGCCCTGGCTATGCGTATGATAGAAACAGGGCATACCAGAACTATAATCCGAGATCGTTTGCGAATTACCGGGTGTGGAGTAACCAGGCTGAATCCATCACTCCCAACGTCACTGTTGTACCGGATCCGAGGAGCAAATTATCGCCACTGTTCAAGTCTGGAAGCCGAACGACGAAATCCGAGCAAATTCTCAAAGAACATTTGCAAACATTTGGTAAGTTTTTGTCTACGCCAGCGGACAAAGACGACGAGAAAGCTTCCCTGGCAGAGAATGAGAAAAAATGGAACAGCGGAGAGGATTCAGTGAGAGAAAAGAAGCCTCCCACGAGCTCATCAAATGCTTTAAAGGAATCGCTTCCCAGCGAAGAGAGCAGTGTATTCCCTTGCAAATGGGTTGGGTGCGATGGACTTTATTCAGAGCAAGATGATTTAGTGCGGCATATAGAGAAAGTTCACATCGACCAAAGAAAAGCCGATGATCTTTATATATGTTACTGGAAGGATTGTAGCAGGCAGCGCCGCGCTTTCAACGCCAGATACAAATTGGTGATTCACATGAGAGTACATTCGGGTGAAAAACCCAACAAGTGTACGGTGAGTAGTACAACAAACTTATTATGTCGACTCGTGTTTGTTTTGCATTGTTTCAACCTTCTTTCATATGTATCGCGTCAATTATTTTACACTCAATTTGTGCGATCAAGAGAAATGTTTCGCCAAACCTTTAGAGCGCCACGTCGAATATCGACTACACTTAAGAAAGACAACAGCTCTGGGTGTTATGTTTTTGTGAAATTTCTAAAAATAACCCCAAAAGTAAATTTCAATTCATTTAGCGCGCGGCGTACTTGAACTCACGAGCGGTATTCAAATGCCATTTTGCGCTTAATTTAATCATGTTTTTATGGACCCAGTCACAACATTTTCTTCTCTTTGAGCGAAACAAGACCGGCTTTTGTGGCTCTGCTTATAGGAGGCAACAAGAAATACGTACAGGAAATGCAAGCCGCAATTTCGCACGATTGCGGTGAAGAAAACAAATGTCTCCATTTCAAAAAAACACCCTTCGGTAGCTATAGGTGACGTTCTTGACCGGTAGGCATTCGTTCCCTCACGCCAGGGTTTCTAGAGAGATTTGCATAAGACACAATAATTACATTGTTTGTCTTTCATTTTGGCCTCTGGGGCTTCAAATTCAATAGCATATTTGTTATACTTGCGGTTCGGGGCAGCCGGGAAGAAAAACAAATTTTTTGGATTGTCATCAGACAGACGGAATAGATCACGAAACGATTTAATCCCTCGCAAAAACAATCTATGAAGTCTTGTGAGGGAAAGAAGGTAATCGAACACTAAGAAGAGATTATCTGTTCCATTGACCTAGCACTGGCTCTTGAATTTCGGCAAAAATTTGACATGTTCGAAACGGTTCAATGTGCACCATGTGGTTAAAACTCCGGGAGGCCAAAAAACAATTGTTATGGAACCAATCATTTAACTCTAATATACCTTGGTTGTTCGAAAACCGCTCGCGTTCTGCACGAGAAAAGAAATTAAGCGAACAAAAAGTAATCTAGCTTAACACCTTGTCGATTTTAAGTTTCTATTCTTCTCAGATTAGTTACTTTGGTAAAAAGGTAGAGCATCGTACTGTAGGAGTGTCTGAAAGTACAAAGAGATGCGGCTTTGAAAAGTTTCAAAATTGTTTTCTCGCTTTCAACGAAAGGTGTACTTTTAATTGGATATAACGAAAATTTAAATATCTCTGACTTGAAATCAGTTGCTGCGCGATGGCGTTCAGATTCAGGAGCACCGCGCCAGTGAACGCTTTTCAATTGACCTTGGATAAACATGGCTCCCGCTGCTGGCGTGATTCTCAGGTCACGGAATATTTGGCGAATATTTTTTAACACATTACTAAACCACCTGTCTTGTACAGTGTATCAAGTGATATATTGTTCATACAGGCCTTACATTTCAAATTGTCAATACCTATTAAAAAAAAAAAACCTCTTGTAGTTTGTTCAGGCACGATTTCACTACGACGTAGAGTTTGCTTCTGAGTAAACACGGCGAGTATGTAAGAAGTTATTTTTAATTAAAATTTCACGGGTATTTTTTAATATTTTCTTAGTGGACAACATTCAAGTGATGCTTTAATTATAATTTTCCAAGACAAAAAACGTGATTGATAAGCTTCATTTGTATGTTAAATTTATACACCTGCCACAAGAGAGATAAAAATTCTACAGCTTTTTTTAACAGCCGCGTCAAAACCAACTTTTCCCCATCTTGCATATTTAATAAGCTCCATAAAATGTTACCAGAGTCACGACAGTTTAAGAATCAGAACTTTCACTATTTTTCTGTAAATCATTTAAAGGTCTTATAAACAAATTTAACTTACATTTCTTCTTAATTATTTTTACTCGTTTGTTTGTGGTTTTCGTGCACCCATTAAGCGCTATCCCTATATCAATCAAAGTAACATAAATTTGGAGGTGGTCTATTGTCCTTATAAAGGCAAATTAATTTCTTTTAGACATCATAGTTTAAACATTTACTTGAGACAACCAGCAGTTTGTTTAATTTTAAATTGAAGCATAACCAGCTAAACAAATAACTCGCGTATTGTTTTCGAAAGACTATTTCACGAAAACTCGACAGCAAATTTGATTGCTGCAATTATTAACCAGTGGCTCTGCGCAGTGTAGTTCTGTGACAATAGCCTTCCTGTCGGTAGAAATTCAAAAGAGTACGTTTCTATACAAATGCTATTTCAGTAATGAAAATCTGTATGTAAAAGTACATAAGCGGGCACCAGTAAGCACATGTAATATACTATCATTTATTACTGTCACGAGTCTCAAAATTAAAAAGAAAAGCTCTATTGTTTCAATGTTATTTACACAATACAATTTATTTCCTTGATCAAATTTACATGAAAACCAAGAAAAATAGATAATAATTTTAGTCACAAATTCTCCAATGGAGTTAAACGATTTTTCATCTCCTTCTTTTGAGAAAAAGCTCCAGCTGTCCAAAAAATTACTGATTGGATTTCTTAAAAACATGTGCTAAATATAAAAATTTAATATATTTTAAAGTTAGACAGGTGTGCATGAGCTTGCGATAAATTTGTAGATCATCCTTCAATAAAATATTTTGGCCTCTGAAATTTTTTAAATATCTTGTTCATTTAACAGTCCGCTCAACACGGTTAAAAGTTGACATAGGAGAAGTAAATAATTTTTCTTTCCTTCACTACCATTTATATTCAAGAAAAACAACAACAAATCTTTGTTCCATCAAATAAAAATTATGTTCAGAGCATTACTAGCAAAGTGAAAAAATGAAATTTATATACAGTTATTATAGACAGAGAGCTGAGTTAAAAGTCATTATTTTTAACTCGGGGTAGACTAGAGTCACATCTGTGGTTTTATCAGAGTGACCTGTCAATTCGGTAAACTTAAAGCCTGAAAAAGTCAGAGGAAGGAAACATTTTGAAAAATATTGTCCAACAAATATGTTCTACACCCTATCAACAATATTGAATGCTATACTAAAAATGTAGCTTAGAAGTTCCCAAAAAAAAAAAAAAAAAAAAACTGCAATAAGTTGACAGGTGTCAATACTTGTGCAAGACAGTATCAGATTGCAAACAACAGTATTTTTACTCCAGTAAGACAGACTAAGTAAATTTTTTTTAGAGGTCATGGTTATTGTCTGCATAAAAAAGGTTTCCAAGTTCAATTAAACAACAAGCAAGTTCAAATATAGCACCATGTAACTCTGTCATGTCTTTTAATAACTTGTGCTACTTAGGACCCACTTGAGTCCAAATAAATTGGGAAGTCTACATTATGAAGATGAGTAATCCCTTATTTGAAACATTTTTTTAGGTTTAAATAATGGAAAATGACTCATAAATATATTAAGGTACCACTGCAAAAAAATTCTGCCTTGAAAAAAACTTTCAATGCAAGAATTTGGTGAATTTAATTGATTCTGTAGATTGTTTATTTGTTTTATTCTAAAGCCACTGACAAAAAAAACAGGAAGTTTACAGTTCTGCTCACATTTGTGATGTAACTCGAAGAGACTTATCCAAAAGTTTTAACAAATATCTTAAAAGTTATTGCACAAGTGTCTCAAAACTGACTCTCTTATATTCATTGTGTTCGTCTGTGCCAAAATTAATTTTGATAAGCTGTCCACAATTTACAATTGTCTTACATAGAATTGCAATTTCCCTTATCATTTGAGATCATGCTGTATTGCAATTGACTTATCATTTTTTTTCTTTCTTTCAGTTTCCAGGATGTAATAAAGCATTTTCCAGGCTTGAAAATCTGAAGATTCACATGCGATCACATACTGGTGAAAAACCATACCTTTGCCAACACCTAGGCTGTCCTAAAGCATTCTCAAACTCATCTGATCGGGCTAAACATCAAAGAACACATCAAGATACGGTAAGCATTAAAAAGTCTTCTCCCTGTCTCCCTAACCATAACACATAACCTCTCCTCACAGGTTTGGCACATTATTACTGATTGTTATCTTCAGATAATATCAAACTCTCCTAACTTATTTAAAAGGAAATGTGTAGTGGTAGAAGGAGAGAATAACTTATCAGATCTTTGGACTTATAGTTTCAGTCAAATGTTAAGTGCTGAAAATAGTAATTTTGCTGTTTAAAATTAATTTTAGGTCAAAATGATTTGTTGTTTTTTTTGTTTCAAATACATTACCATGTCCCATATAAACAAAAGAAATTCAAATAAAGCTAGTCTGAAATCACTTAAATCAGAAACAATATTGAAGTATAGCAAAAGCAATCATGAAACAAAGAGTGAAATGCTTCATAAGATGGATTATTAAGATCATTATGTCCTTGTGACCTCCCAGGGAAAAATTAACATGCACTTCTATGGGGTAAAAAGGTTTTTCATCAGCATAATGAATAGTACCTGGAAAGGTAATTAGAAAAAGGAAAAACACCTTTTAAACCTTTGACCCCTAAGGGTGACCAGCATCTAATTTCTCCTTACAATCTCACCCTGCAATCACACATTAAGGTCATGAGAATAAAGGAAATGATCACCAACTAAAGAAGCTCTTGCCTGTTAAATAAATTCTCCATGTCAGCACCTTAGGAAATGTATAGAGAACAGTAAGTAGAATATGTAAACTGATGTTAGGCATAAAGGGTTAAACTACTTCATTAACCCTTTGTCTCCAACAAGAGACAATTTCTCTTACAATATCAATACAATATCAAGTAGAAAAGTGGCAAGAATAAGAAAGACAAATATCAATTAGGGGATCCATAGTTGATCCAACACCAAAATGCTCAAAACTAACATCATAGGAATTGTATGGCAGACAATAAGGAAAATTACTGATAAAATCATTTCTTTCTTTTTGTTTTTGTAGAAGCCATATGCCTGTCAAGTACCAGGCTGCCCCAAGAGATACACAGACCCTAGCTCACTAAGAAAACACTTCAAACAACATGCTAATGGAAAGATGCCTCAACAGAACTCAAATGGAAAGGTGAGACAAGTTTACAGTACCTGGTGGCACACACATTCTGCAGTTGTAGCATGGTCTTAATAATCTTTCATACTTTCATGTTTGGGTTGAAGAATGCTAGGAGATATTAACTAATAAAGCTACTCCAGAATCAGAGTTAAAAAAAAAAAAAATACAGCTGTCTTCATGCAGTAGTTATCATAAGCCTCCTGTGAACAACAAAACTAGTCAGTAAACCTTTTACCTCCCAAAGGTGATTGACATGAAACTTCTCCCTGTAATATCTATGCATTATTCAACAAACAGGTATTGAGAATATTCAAACTTATAAGGTAGAAGCTGCTATCTTGATCCAGCACCAAGTTCTCATAACTAATTTACAAGGAAATGTGTAGCACCTGTAGAAGGGAGAATTAACAATCAGATGTTGAGAGTTAAAGGGTCAAGAGATTGTGGAGGGTTAAAAATATCTGAGAGAAAACAAACTTGTGACATTGACAGAAACAGCTGAAGATAAAAGAAAGTTCAGGATTTAAAGGTTTTGTTTTAACACTTTCTTTTTTTCTCTGTAGTCTAAACAGAAACCAAGAGGAAACCGATCATCAAAAAGAGATCTCCTCTGTGCTGGAGTGACAAGACCTTTACCAGATTTTGGCTATGTGGATGAATTTCAGGCCAGAAAGAGGCAGAAAACATTGGATACACTGCGTCAGACAACTGAGAAAAAAATGGCACTTGAAAGTGGTTTTGCTCAAGCACACCTGGATGCTCAGCGAGCTTGGTATGCAGCAGAAAGTGTTTATGGGCAGTATACTCCACCACCATTGCAACCTGTTGCTAGAGCAAGCACACCAACACCAGAGGAAGAACCTGGAGCACTTCGTTTCACTCAAATGTTAAGTAGCATGGAGATACCAACATTTGAAGACACACTAAAGCCATTATCAAGTGCCTATTCATAGCCAAGAGTAAAATTACAAGTCTGAGATGTTTTGGGGAAACATCAATTAACTTTAAGTAAGGCTATGAAGCAGCTTTTTTTTTTCTTCAAGGGTGTAACACTTCCTTCCAGGATACTTCCTGATGAAGTACCTTTGCAAGAATCTGGTTTAGAAGAACTATTGACCAGGAAACTCAGTATAAAAGGATATTATACATGAAATACTTGAGATATCATAGGTCGGAGAAGAAAGCTATTTTACTACAAAAACAACTTCATTTTATAAGGTACATATATGATGTACAAAAAAGTTAATAATACATCAGCTTCACTGATGAAAAATCAGTTTATTACAAAGAAAAGAGCAAAAGGTTTCTTGGAGAATGAGTTTATCAAAAGAAATCCACTTTTGTAGACTGAAAATCATTTGTACAATGCAATGTGTACAACTTGACAGTTGAGTTAAGTTAGCCCTGAAAAAACTTGTAGGTCAACTATGTACAAGTTTACAAAGTCAATTTATTTTTTGAAAGTTGTTCCTCCATATAGCCAGATTGTGAACAGTAAAAATTAAGTCAAGGAAAGAAAATCAGAGTCTTATATTTTGATTAATATGTTACTCTGGAAGGTACAGGATATTCTTTTAGACATTGCCACAATGAAATGTGTGAATTGGGGGTAAATAACATTAATTAATTAAACCCTTATGGGCATGCAAGCACCCAATACTCAGACAGATAAATGGATAGTTTTGGAAATCTTGTACAGTCACAATTAGAAATATCACTAGTAGTTTTGTGCATCTTGAAGAGAATCATTTAATAATTTATTGTAATTTACTTTAGGCCTTGGGAAAATAGAATAATCACAGATTGTAGAATAGCCCTAGAAGTTTTTAAAATCAAGTTATTTCCCAACCAACAAATTTTGAATTGTAGGCAATTGTTTACTCTGATTTGTAGCCAAATTAGATGAAATTAGTCCTGATTTTTTTCCAAACAACAATAGCAATCTGATGTTGGAAGATAATTTCTCATAGTGTGGATTAAGTAAAAGAGCATATGGAACAAACTTAACCGATGATACCTTTAGATAAAAAGAATTCAGAATGAAAATAGCTTCATAGGTTTCACTTTAAGATCAACACTAGCACTAGACTGATTAAAACTCATTTCACTTTCTGGCCAACCCATTAAAGACTACCACTACAATCCTTTTTTTAGGCATTCTTTTTAGTTCCCTTGATAGAAGGGATTTTAGTATGGAGTATGCAGTTGCAGACTGTAAATATCTCTTAACAGATCACACTTTCTCAAATGTATTTTGTCGATGCACATACAGTTAACCACACATGTAAGCCAATATTTTGCCATAGTTTTGTAACATCCACTTATTGTTTCTATGTTTCTCTCAGTCATCAAAGAAACCATGCACTTTGCAGCTATCATAGTATAGTTTTGTTATACTTCTTTTCAAGATCCATGTAAGAGAACATGCGCAATGTCAATAGCAGGATTTAACTTTTTAATAAAAGAAAAAAAGATTTTAACAATATTGTGTGCAAGTTGTCATGTGTTATTTATTACCTTTACTTGAAACATGTGGTACAGAACAAAATTTCAACTTAGGTTTTTGTAATTTGGTGCACTGCAGGACTCTTTAGCAAACTACAGGTGTGCAAAAGACAACTTAAAAACCTACTTACAAGACTTTTTTCACTTACTTTACTACTCTTTTCTTGTCTACATATTCCTAACCCCCTTCCCCACCTCCCAAGAAATCAGCGTTCTCCCTATTTTAAGCCAATTGGTAGAATAACCCTTTTGCCAGTTGAATTTTCAAGAAATCCGAGTTATTAAGGTGCTAATGAGAAGTACTACAGACAGTACATTTTACCACTTAATTACTACCTGAAAAGGACAACACAGCTTTACTATCTTTTCATTGCCTACAACCCTCACCAAAAGAGAGCAATCAACCAATACTTTGTTAAAAAAAAAAGTTCACAATTATTGTTGTACAAAGTCTCCCTTTAAGCAAGGCTTAAACTATGAAATACAAAATAAGCTTTTTATACTGTAAAAAAAGAACAAACAAACAAACAAACAAAAAACTAAGAAGTGCTATAATACTAAAACCATTAACTAAGAACAAAGCACAAAACAAAGACATCTACAACTAATATTCTTATAACTATCAGTACTTCTTTGTTCACTTACCTATGACACAAGATCTAACGATTCTAGAAGAGAACACTTCCTCTTTACAGGCTTCCACTGTTTTTCACATTTCAAATAATTGTTAAGGACACCATCTTCTAAACATTCTTCAGTCGTAACAGATGATGAAAAAGCTGTTCCTCTTGTTTTTAACCTCTTTTTGGGTTGCCCATTTCTAGCAGAATTGTTCTTGCCATCTTGTCCAGGTATTGTTGCCATTTTCTGAATTGGTGAAGGTCTACAACAAGGCATCCTGTTTTCTTTTGCACACAGCATAATTTTTGGAAGTTCACTTGTGGACTTGTTCTTGGGTGTAGACCTACAGACCAAGTGATGACATGAGGATTTGTAGAACTTGGTGGTTTTCCTGTTAAGCTGTGTATCTATTGTTACATCTGCAGGGCAGACTTTAGATTTTTCTTTCCAATCACTTATCACCTCAACAGCCCATCCTTTAGTAACTGTAAAGGCTTTCTCCTGCTTGAACTCTTCAAGCTGTTGTTGACAGGAGAAAGAACAATATGCCTCAATAATAATAAAAACAATGATGCTCTGGGAATTTGTTTTGAGAGAGTTTATCAGAATCATCTGATCCATATGACAGTGGTCATGTGGCTGGGGTGGTGGACTCAAGATGGGGAAGTAAAGGTTACAGCCAGCCTTCCTCAAAAGTCCCAATAACTTAACAGGCCCAAATTCATATTTTAAAACCATTAATAAAGGAATGAAAAAGCAAGTTCTGGCACCCTAACAGCTCCTTTTTGTTTCTTTAACTGAGGGTTTATTGAATAATTTTGAAAAATTTGAAACTCTCATCTTGAATGAAAACAGAACACCTTTACAGGCCTGTTTAGTTGGGTCCTTTGAGAAATGGTCCCATGGTCATTGTGTTTTGCTTTTGGGGAAGACACCTCACTCTCACAGCTGTCAAGGAAAGTTAAGTTACTACAGTGAAGGTAAAAGGTAAAGGTAACTTCAACAATCAAACCAGGTCGCCCATCTGGCCAGAGTTTATCCTGGTCTTTGTAGCATGAGGGGATTAGGAGTATTATCATCCTTGCTTGATTAGAAATTTGTTTGTTTGCAGGTTACAATAACACCCCACCTGCATTTTGCCAGGCTTCCCTCATTTACAATTTTTGGCCAACCATTTATACCCCCACTCAGAGACAGGCACTATGAGGTTTCAGTGTCTTGCCCAAAAACATATCAAAATGATCTTGCTAGATTTCAAAATTACACCTCTCAACATCGAGTCCAGTATCAAGGTTGTTGCTAGGTGCCATGATACATGCTACAGAAACTGGGAAGAGTATTGCAGCACAATACATTTCAATTGTGTGTCCTACATGTTTCTACATCTTCTTAGTCAACATTTTAATTTTAAGCTTTAATATCTAGACTGACATAGTTGAATTTTTAACATTGTAATGCATAATTGAAAAATTCATATTGATAATTGCACAATACAAGTCAATAGAGAAGAGAGAAAGAGAAGAGAAAGACTTTATTTATTGAGGATAGCACGTGATAGTGCACAAACACTAATAAACTTGTGGTCCTCCTAATTACAATAAATATATAAATACAATAGAATCATTAATAGAAATTAGCTAAAACAAGTAAGAATATATAAAACTACTATCAATAAAATTTACGGATTAAAATGAGCTAAGCATGATTGGTCCTTATAGTAATATTTAAATACGTTGTCTTTAAAGGCCTTAAGTGTATTAGACTTTTTTAATTCAGGCTTTAACTGATTCCATAATTTTATGGCAGAAACTAGAAAAGTTTTCCCTCCTTCTCTAGCCCTTTTAAACTTAGGTAATAAAAAGTTGTATTTACAAAATCTAGTGTTGCGTGAATGTACTGAACTTAATAATCTTAAGCTATCATTAAGATAATTAGGTACACAATAATTAATCCTTTTAAATAGTATTGAACATTTAGCCATCTTAGTAGAGTCATAAAATGGTATCCACTTTAAACGATTGAATAGCATAACTGATGAACTACGTGGTTCAGCATCTAATAAAACCCTAGCAGCTCTCTTTTGTAGCCTAAGTATTCTTAAAAGAGATTCATTAGAGCAAAGTGACTGCCATGCAACATTGGCATAATCAAATAATGGCTTAATTAAACTATTATAAAATAAAAGTCTTTGGTTAAATGGTAAACAAAGTTTGATCTTATTCAAAATTCCAATTCTTTGTGAAATTTTTTTACACAGTCTGTCAACATAAGTGTTCATTGATAAATCGTGGTCAATGTCTAAACCAAGAAGTTTAGAAATAAATTAATAATAAATTATTATTATTATCATTACTAAAAACAAAACCAAAGAATTCAAAACAGCCAGAAGAAATGAATATTATAACAGGAGCCAAAAACAAAACAAAGTAGAAAACAGAAAAACTGCTTAAAAAGTTGGAAAGTGTGAGTGACAAAGTTGCAATTGGTTTTAATTTTGAAACTAGTGATGCAAGTTTTCTGAACCAATCACATAGCAAAGTAAATGATCACCACAGCAATTCTAGACTAGTATCAACATTCAATTCAAAATTGCTCTTAAAACTTCACTACCACATAAACCGTATGACCACTTACATCTAGTGCTAGACACAGGGTTGTGTCTTTCATAAGCTGCAGAACTCCATGACCAAATGATATTCTTGTACCTGACAGATTTAAAGCACTCAAGGAATGCAACTTGGCTATGTGCTTCACACTTTCATCTGTTATATTTGGATTCAAGGATAAATCCAACACTGAAAGCTTTCCAAATCCACTTTTGAAAAAGCGCCGAGGTAAGGTAAAGTGTCTCACACCAGCATCAGAGAGACAGTTATCTTTGAGACTAAGGCTTTTCAAGCTGGGTGAAAAAAATCAATCAATAATTACCAGTAAAAGTATAAATCTATCATGATTGCATGTATAACTTTTGTGTCATAACACATGAAGATTTTTAGAAATTTAATTAAAATTTATACTCTAAGAAAACTTGATCATTCCAATTACACACAAATTATCCAAAACACCATTTGAAGAAACTGGAGGGAAACGGTTATATTCAGCTGAAAACAGTACAAAATTTATTATATAAAAAAACATCCACTTTCACATTGTTGAGACTTTTGTAATGACAATTTTTTTTCCAAACTACCTCAAGGTCCTCTCACAAATTGTGCAGACAGGACTTTAAAGGATAAGGCAAGAAGATGCCTGCCTGAGAAGATTGTTATAAAGCAAAGCACCCCCAATTTTCCTAAACTCTCCACTCTCTTTCCTTTTGACTATTGTTCACCCCCTTGCTACAAATTTCACATTTTACCCAGCCTTCTGCTACTGTTAAAATCAAAGATGGCAGCTGTAGCCTATACCAAGAAACTGCTGACCACTGGCTTACCATTATGCTGATATGCATGCTATCCCAAGATCTAGTTAGTAATTCTCCCTTCAGGCTGATAAATAATTATAACAGCTGTAGTTGCAAATTAATAAAGAGAATTTGGTACTGCAATACAATGTACTTACTTGTGTAAATGAGCAACATATGATAACAGCTCATGTGTATCTCCAAGACGACAATGACTGACATCAAGCTCTGTCAGGCATACAAACAGTTGAAGATATTCCAAATAGTTACTTGTAAAGACATGTGCTGAACTAAGTGACAGCTTTGATAACACCAATTCACCATACGCTTCACAAAATATCCTCATATTCCTGGGATCTGATCCAAATCCATCATTCTCTTGGACTTTTTGGAAAAGTTGTTCCCCAACAATGTCTGGAAACCCTTCTAATGATTCCACCATACATATGTTTTTGGCAACAAAATCCAAGCAAATAAGAAACAAGGATTGAGGATTTTGGATGTTGTTATCAATGATAAATGAACAATTTGCTCCTGTGAATGACAAAAAATGAAAAAAAGAAGGAATTAAAATTGTTCAAACAAACTTGTCTTATACAGGTAATTTTCCTGTAGGCGATGTGATGGTGGATACACCACCATGGAGAATATAGAAGCACAACAGCAAAGAGCATTAAATCCATTTATTATCTAGATACTGAGAAATTATCACAGTTTCTTCTGTTTCAGTTTAAGAAAATTAATGATTCCATGTTGCTATCCATCTGTTCTGTAATAGATCACAGATGACATTAACATGTGATAAGAACAAAAAAATGGCACAAGATGCGTAACCAAGTGTGTCACTGATATTTTAACCACATTTGATGTCTTCTGTGATCTATTATAGTGATAGCACAGACCCATGTAAAATAAAATCTATTTGTTTCATATGATAGTAAAGCAAAATTTTTAATATGATATCACCATCTGTGCATTTGACCTCCTACAACTCGTAAGTAAGAGGCAATAAAAATGCATGTACAATTCAGCTTATCATGTAACAGATTATATTTTTCCCTCTCTTGCCAAATACTGATTTCTCTTCAACATTTCATTATGTAGCCAAATAGATGAGTAATGAGAATTATTACAAAATATAAGCTACAAGTTCTTGTTTGATTGAAGACCACATTCTCTTCAGAACCGACATTGCCAAAATTATGTCGCATGGCGGGGGAGTATCAAAAGCTACATCTTTTCAGTGTAAACTGAGTGAACTTCAGGAGAGAAATTATTTGAAAAATCTTAAATTTGCTTTCAGATCACGCCATTTTGTCTACCAATAATTTATTTTCTTTTGTAAGAATCAACATAACTATGACAATGATGAAACCGATGAAAAGATACATTATCTGTTGACCCTTTTACTTCTAAGACCGAATTTCTCATTACTGTACGAATACAATATCAAGCAGACAGGTGTGCGAAAAACCAAAACTATAAAATTAGTTGATTATTACATAATGCAATAGCAAATTATCCGAACTAACATTTTAAGAATTGCATATTAGACAGTGAGAATAATTACTAATGAAATCTTGGAAGTCAAAGAGTCGAATATTTTTCTCCAACGTTCCACCCAAGATTTCATGAAATATTGCCAAATAACTGCTCGAGGAGATCACCTTGTGTAAACGCAAACGTACGGTAAATGCCGAGTACAGTATACATTATTGAATACAAAAATAAAGAAAATCATTGCCATTAACAAAAATAAAAAATGAAAAGCCAGTACCTTTGGGGACATTATTTTTGAAGGAATTACTGTTCTTGCAGCCTATCGAAAAGCCAGGTGGTGAAACTACTCGGCCGTATTTGTTTCTTGTGTAAACCACACCAACATCGCTCCAACTTTCAAAGACGTCTCTTGCGAACCCTTCAAACGACATAGCTGCAGAAAGGCGAGTGGAATATCTTTTGTGATGGAAATGTTGGTGATCTCAACAGATACCAAAACATTACGATGCGAAAACATGCGCGTTTTGTATTTTCCCGCCATGCTGCGCGTTGCGGTATACGGATCGAGAAAGGATTGGGATGGAGTTGTTCGATTTCATCGAGCTTTTTCGAGAGTAGTTTTAATTTAAGCCTGAGGCAATAGCAGTGAAAAAACTTCAAACACTATTATCTTGTATTTTCCTATCCTATTTCGACCGTTTGCCAAAATCTAGCCCTCCGAATACTTTTGCTGAGAAAAACCCTCCCCCTCCCCGTTAGGGCTCTTTCTATTTCCCGCCATTTCCGCGGAGCGCGCGAGTGTTCTTCATGGTTTCTAATCGGTTTCAGTCACGGCTGCTATGAACGTCGTGCACGAGGACACTACTTGTCCTAAAAAATGAGACGGAAAAAACCGCAATTACATGGAAGTTCCTGTCTAAAGTTGAAATAATCGTCACAAGCCAACTTTTTAGGCCATATTGCACTTGGAGATGATCAACGAGCGGCAGCACTTGGACTCGTCGAATGATTGCATTATCTATCCACTCGTTTGCCACTTCTCCAGGAAAGCAAGAACCCATATGTAAGTAATTACTGGTAGAAATTGTCTTTTTCACCTTATTTAAAGATGAATAAGAAACTTGAATTGATACAGCCAAATAACCACATTTGGTCATGATTGACATAAACACTAATTACACGCGGCATAAATTTTCTTCACAACAATTGTATCCAAACGGCCTGCCAGTCCAAACCAAAATACGATGTGATCGCGCTGAGCGATGCGAGGGGGTGATAACAAACTCTAATACAACTCATGGAAACACGTTATTTGACACTTAAAGAGTGAGCTGCCTTTGTCTGACTCTTCTTCACTCGGAAGAACTTCTCAATTCTCATCCGACACAAAGGAAGTATCTTTTACGGAAAGAAGTCACAACTTACGCAAAGAACTATTGTTACCCTTTCATTTTCACGATTAACAAGTAGTGTACACAAGCGATATGACTGACAGTTTGGCGAAGTCTCAAGTCCTACTTATGAAGCCAACTTTAATTTATTTCAATTCAAGAAGAAGAAGAAGAAAACATGATTTAGCCGTCACGCGGTTCAGAGTCAGGAAGATTGCGAAAGAATTTAGGGGTCGAGGTCCTAGGGCTTCAACAACTAGATGTAGAAAAAATTCAAAGCGCCCAGTAGGAGCAGTTGTCTTATTTTACACTGTAAACAATAACTAAGACATCAATTTTTTAAGTTCTCCGGTTTAATTTAAGCTCCGACTTTGATACAACTTTAAGTTAGTAAATTTGAAAAATTATGATATCTTCAAGCACGCTATCTTTTAACACAACACAACTAAGCCCGTTTGTTAGTGGATTACACTCGAACACAGATTGATTAAAAGAGTGAATTAAGTAAAAACAAATGAATGAATTAAGAAATTAACTGAAATTATCATTTCGGTTTTATCATGTGTGAGACTCCCTTGTTCCTTCGTTCTCCTGCGCCGCAGTTTGCGACATTTCCATGTCATTTTGATGAAGTCTAGATCTGCAAAAAATTGTCATGAATGAATTCCGAAATTGTTTCACTCTCCATCCGTAAAGAAACGGGTTCGCAATGGAACTCACACACAACAGGAAATCTGAAAACTTATTTGTCACAAAAAACCACGAACTCTCGAGGCAGCTTTCACAGTTTGACTCAATTTTTGTCAAAACAAGGTATGGAATCTGTGTCAGAACCAAAACTAAAAGAATCAGGAAAGTTGTGAAGGCAAACTCCTTTTCGCGTTGCAAATTTCGGCGATGTTGTTCGGCTTTCCGTCCTGGAATCTCTTCTCCAGGAAAAAGCTTTCTTCTCTTTCGGATGATCAAGTAAATAACACAGTTTACTGCCGCAGTAGAAGAGAGTGCAAATGTTACGTGAAGATGCACATCTATAGAATCATAGATTTCCTCCGGAATGTCAGTGAGCTGAAGTAAACTGAAAACCAAACAGTAGAGCCAAATTGAGATGACCATGATGATAGAATGGAAGTTCTTTACAGAGCAGCGATAAAAAAATGGGAAGGCAACCGCAGTAAGTCTGTCAACAGACAAAGCAACCACAAGCACTGTAGCAGAGTTATCGATAAAGTAATCCATAACGTAGTCAAACGAGTTCTGGCTGTCTTGGTTTTTAACACAGTAAAACTCATTCTTAGCAGAGGTGGTGTCACCAATAGCTCCTACGGTAAAATCAGTAATAGCTAGTCCAGTGATTAATACCGCAAATGGTCGCCTAAAACACTTAAGTGGATCTCTGTATATAACAAACAAGAACAGGCCATTGATCATGATTGTGAAAACCGATGCAGCTAAGTAGAGAGCTCCTACTGTAGAACATACACCGATGCGTAAATTTTCAGGAATATTGGAGAATATTTTATCTTCCATAATTGAAACACTGAACGGAGCGAAGTGTTTTGACTCATTAAGACGATGATATTCAAAGTTCACATAAATAAATAAATACAGCGTGTCTCGCGAAGAAATTAATAGATCGGCTGATTTCCAGGACAAATCATCGGTATTAGGCTGGACGGTTTTTCTATGTCGATGATTTATACTTTATATCTAGATGTTATTTGATAGCTGTAGGCCATTTATTAACAGAGGATAGTACAATTCACATTTTTATTTGAAAGTTGCATTGAAAAATTTCCATTAATTGATTATACTGGCAAACAGTCATGAGCTCACCAATTTTTAATAAAATTTCAAAGCAGGTGCTGAATATTAACTCTCTTTCGAAAACTGTTTGAATAGGCTCAGCGGTAGGATAATTCACTTTGCCCAATAGCCCGCTCACCGCTGAGAAGCTGTCGGATTTTGTATCGAGTCTGTGTTGAGAAAAAAGAAAATGATATAAAAGTTAGTATAAAGTGAATCTACGTCTTCTTTTGTGAACTTGGGACAGCTGTGGCAAATGGAAATTCACTCCATACGAGAAACAATCCCCCAACAAATCATGTGGGAAATTACTAATCAAGAGGAGTCAGTTTTTTTTTTTTTGTCGAAATGTTTACATTCCCGAAAGTTTGCCCTGATATCACCATTGGCAACCAGATAATAATGCAGAGATAAAAAAAGGTAAAAAAATAAATAAACTAGTGAATCAAGTTTTTGCTTGAGATTTGTGGAGAACTTCTACGCACGTACTACGGGTGGCTTTCATAATCGAACCGAGAATCGAACAGATCGAGATGTTATTATTTGAGAAAAAATACGCGAGCTTTCCTCGTCAAGAGAAAAACTATGTGAATAATAAGTGTAATAAACGAAATTTTATTTTTATTTTTTCCATAAAGTTGCAGTAGTAAAAAGCGATTTAGGAAAAAAAAGTTTTGTGCCCCGTGTGAGGATCGAACTCACGACCTTCAGATTTCGCACAGGATTATGAGACTGACGCGCTGCCTACTGCGCTAACGAGGCATCCTGCAAGGTATGGAGTGAAATTTATTTAATAAACACATTACATAGCAGTGCATGACCCTTATACGGGGTTTATAAAGTATACTGGGCATTTTTTTCCCCCCTTGCTTGAAAATGCTTTTAAAAATACCAAGATTTTAGCATTCCTCTCGCCCAGTCCTTTTTCTAAATCCTTGTTTCCAGGATCCACTCTTTTCCACCCTGTGGAAGGGTGAGAGAGCCCCGGGAACGAGTTGGAACAACAAGGAGCGAGAGTCCCAACAAAACACATGCATCGTAATAAGAAGAACAATCAATAAGGAATATCAAATTGTCTTGCTTGTGTTCTTCCCAAAGTTTTATTTTTTTCCCCCATTTATTTTCGTGATAAGACCCTTAAGCTCCAACTCAGAGTCGTTTGCATGTACTCTACTCTGATTTCAAACAAAAGAAAGATGTTCAATAAATCATTTGAAAAGAAATACAAATGAAATATTAGTCGGTACAAACATTTCTTCAAATGACAAGACTCATTTGAAACGATGAAAGGAAACAATGATCAAGTCTACGCCTGCAATTCATTCAATGAACGCAGCCAAGGGGCCGGTTCTTCAAGAGGTGATGATCACTGACCCAGGATTTAAATTCAAACTTAGTAATGATTCATCTTGTATAAAATTGTATAAATGGGAACCCTCCTGATGCGGTTCCTTTCATTTCTTGATTACGAACTTATTAAAACGGATCATGCGGGTCAACCGATTCCCATTCGCTATTTCCACGAAATAACAGATGCATGAACGTTGAATAGTTGTGAATATAAGCGAGTTAATATTTCATAAAGGACTTCATCCGATAACACCATTGTAGGACTTTTACACGTTGTTTATCATTAAATCGATTTGGAATATTCCCATAAAGTGCAGTCATTAAAGGCTGCACAATAATGACACGCTTTGAAGTTTTTGTGTTCTCTTTTTGCTAACCGACGTTAATTTAAATTTTGTTTTAGGCTTGTGTGAGTGTTACAGCTCTAGTACATATTTACACGGAGTTAAAGTATTTTATGAAACATTTCCTTAAATAGTGAAAGAATATGCTTCCTTTTAATTAGTTACCGGATCTGCCTGAGAATGTGTCTAATTGACCGAGAGTATTCAGCTATACGCCTCAGGATTAAAACAGGGTTGAAAACGCTACTCAAAAATAACAAAACTAAACTCGTACTATTTAAAACTATGAACCATCGCTTCGTGATACAATCATCACACGTTACTTCCATAAACTTCACGGCGTAAAACAGAAACAAGGACAATAAAACTGGTAGCAAAACACTGAATAAAGTCACCAACAATTTGTAAACCATCTGAGAATTTCTCTTTCTTGATTCGCTGGCAAATATCTGAGCGACTGGTAACCCACTATTGATAACCGAGACACGGGCTTGCTTCTTAAAATTTCTCAGCCTTGCCGTGCACGATATGAGGATTCCACAGACTGGGAGGATAATAAATACGTGGAGGTAGATCATGTAGAACAACGTTTTCGATATGTCGAGGAACAGCAGCGAGCAAAACCCGAAACAAGTAACCGCTGCTGTAACGCTAACGATTTTTGCTCGCTGTAGTGTAAACCACCTTTTGTTTAAGTGTGGGTGGAGTACGGCTGTACATCGTTCAGTTGATATGGCACATAAACACAATGTGGCAGTTCCAATAATGAAATCTTGCATGAAAGCCTCCAGATGGATCACCGCCGAAGGAAGAGGGTTTTCAGGGTTATGTCCTCGGAGAATACTTAAAATGCCAGTAAACGGTGACACTATCATTCCCACCAAGACGTGTGTTATAGTTAATGCGATGTTGAAGACGTTTGTCGGTTTATTAAGGCACTTCAGAGGATCCCTTTTGACAACGTAAAGGATAACAGTGTTTCCCAGAGAAGCAAGAAGTCCCATAACAATAAAGATAACACCAAAGATCATGTAGACATCCTTGTTAGAGTTTTCAACAATTTTGTGACTGGAAGTCCCAGAGTCTGTGTTCGTATCAGCCATTTCAATCGATGAACATCAAAGTCTTAATTATTCTTCCTTGACTGACAGCTTACAGAGGAGTATATGAAAAGAAATGTCAAACGGGACTCTCAGTTTATGTTTTCTCAGCTTTCTCTGTTTTCAGAGGCTACTACAACGAACTGTAGAGACTATGTTAACGCTGTCAGCCTTATACAAATATTTCTGGGTTTGACTCTTCCAAACATTTCAAAATTAGAATGTTTCGTTGATGTGTTGATTAACATCGATTCAAAATTTCGAGAAGCAATCAAGAACAATGGCACTCTATATGTGGCAAAAGTTAAACGTAAAGTTCAATTTTAAAAAAAAAACTGGCCAATATGCTATAATTAATTTTCCTATGCGAGAAAATCATTTTCAGATTCAAAGAGTGATTCGCTCTTACTATGAACCATCTGCGCCTCGTTTATATAGGTTATTATGAAAACTTGGCAGATGACACGAAATTGAAAAAAAAAAGTATCATTGTCAGCTACCGCTGGGAGTAAATTGGTCTTTTTAGATTAGAACAGGATAAATCCGCTCGTTTATCTGCATTGATTTGGAACAAAGAACAGGAACAGTTCAGAATATTAACCTGCTATCGAAAGTATCGTTTGTATCTGTAATGAAGTGATTGGTGATTCTTCATGACATTGAAATTTCATTTTCTTTCCTGTCCTTCTTAATTTGACTGTTTATTTCTCTTCCAGTCATCATTTTTCGTTCTACACCATAAAAAGAGATACGTATGACCTTAGGGTATGACCTTAGGAAAGTTGCTGAGGGAATTTGCTAAATAGAACAAAAACAAAAAACAAAATCTTTTTTCTTTGTAACAGTGTCAGCGCAGGGTTTTCAAATTGGATTTTATCAGGTTGGAGAAAATTAGTGCGTGTTTTTAGAGACAAATTTCCAAGATTTGGCGGTGAAATTTCTCCACTGAAGTGCAAATTGACACAATTCTTTTAAATGCAAAATTACAAGGATTTTATTTACGATGCGCAAAACATTAGCTGAGGGTTTTGAAATAAAGTGCTAAGGTTGTAAAAAATGTGTCGTTCTTTTTCAAGAGAAGCAAATACTCACTTGTTAGGAAGACATCAGATGTCAGCTTAATTTTTTTATATCCTTTTTTTTTTTTTTTCGGTGGAGAATATAGTTCTGTCTTTCAAGACCCTTTAAATGAGTTTTGGGTATTGTGGTGTCATCAATTATTCGTTCTCCACATTTCTGAATTTTTTTAATTTAAAGGGAACTTTCATGTTTCAATACCAAGCATTTCTTTTGGCAGGAGAACACAATATCACAGCACTTTTGAGACATATCTTGTATCAAGAGATATTCTTGCTCGTACTCAGGGGGACATGGCTCATGTTCTCCATGAGAAAAGCACTTTAGCTCCTTTGAATGTTTACATTCTAAAACTGATACACAATCTGCTTACATGCTGGCTTTTTACGCAAGTGTATTCGACATTTTGTTTTTGGAAATTGGATTATTCATTAACCTCACTCGTATGCATGTATCCTAAGCTTATCCTACGAGGTTAGTGGCGCTAGAGGTCCTTGGATAACAGGTTTCACCTTGTTGAGACAAAGAACGCTGTATTACATATCATTTGAATTTGATTTCTTTTACTGTCTACCATGTACTTTTCTCGAAACATTTATCTCTAAAATTACTGTTTGACTATCTCTTTATTAAAAGCTGAAATTATTATACTCCTATCCCATCCACCAAATCTAATAAACTAGGGAAACTTTTGAGTTATTTACAATTAAAAACCCTTCTTTGCTGCGATGTAATTTTAAAGCAGGGAAAGTTTAAATAATTATATTGGTACGAGGAAACGCTACCTTATCTAATCTTTAATTCATCACCCTACAAGGACGTCAGACTTTCACAATTAAACGGTTTCATCCCTCACTTTTGACTTACCTCTCTCCATGTGCTTCAAAATAAGCCTGCCTTTGGCAATATAATGTAACCCTTTTCAACTTAACATGGGTAATTATATTCCCTATACTGTTCTTTTTAGATTTCCCATGGTACTTTTGATACTGACAAGGAGAATTTGTTTGACAATCAGGAGCGTCTTAGATTGGTGATTTTTTCCATTATTTTTCTGATCTATACATTTGATTCAAGGGTGATAATATAAAAAGAAATTAGATACCAGTCACTTTAAGGGGTTGAGAGGTTTTAACAAAGTTATTAACTAGTATTTCCATGAAGTTGTGTTTTTTACGCTCCAAAAGATAACTCTGTGAATAGAAATCTTGAGTGCAATTATTTCAACGAAAGCTATCTGCTGCGTTTGGTGAATGGTTTAGAGGTCAGTGATGAGATTTTAAATAAATTTTGACGTTTTACAATGATTATGAAATGATTATTTACAGCTAAATTGATGGACTATATGCATGATCAGATGACTTAAGATTCTTTGTTACAACTGAAGTTGTCCCAGCTAACAACTTCAGTTATTTTACAAGTTTGTTCGGGTAATGTTTGGTTTGGTTTATCAACCCACTAGATAAAACCAAATTGTTTTTGTGTTTGTATGTTTACTGATGACTTTTCATGCCTGCCTCCTTGTAGGGCGACACAGGAGAATGAGATAAGCCGCTGACAAGTTGGTTTCTAATCACACCGGCAATGGATGTATGATGCAGAATTTTTGAAAAGAACAAAAATTCCAGGTCATTAGCATTCACTGCTCGAAGTCCCATCAACTTGAGGAGAATTTTTCCAAATCTGAACGCCTCATTGGGAAAACGATTCTTACAATAACGCTCCATGGCAGACAGAACAACTTCTTGGCTTGTTTCTGCATCGGGCAGACAACGAGCCTCTGCACTATCTGGAAACGAAACAAAGAATAAAGTGAGTGTGCTGTGCTAATGATCACCAAAAGGAAAACTATAATTCTGAATATAACTAGTGTCTTAAGTTGTGTTTGTAATTAACAAGTGATTTATCTGATGGGTGGATATTCAGTGGTTTTTATTCAGATTTTTTCAAATAACTTTATTGCTATTTATTTCGATCTGATGGAAGGCGCCGACTGATTGAATAGCACCAATTGAATATAAATGCTCTCCAAAAAATGGTAAGTGGCATATTGTCATAAGGGAGGCGAAATGTCATCGAAGTTGAAAGGGAAGAAACGTGGTCTTAAGTAATTTGGGTCTTAAAGGGTTAAAGTCGCATCCTTTTCAATACCAACCTGAAGAAAACAACACCATTACTTTCAGGCATGCGTATTCGGCCTCCTCTAAACCACGCAAGCGTAACAAGCACTCGTGAAAACTGGCTAGCGTCTGCTTCAGTCGAAGCTTCCTCTCGTTGCACATTCCCGCGCATGTCTCAATCTCGTAAGAGAGCGCGACAGAATCGATTTGCAGATCATATTGTGCAGCGACTAAAATAAATAGATCACCCCAGCAACATCTCAGCATGGCGTACTGTTCACAGATATCCAGGTTTGAAAACATAGGCACGTGCTTGGTCCACTTCAAGGCAGCAGAAAATAAGGTCCATATTTTATGGCATGGAGTGGATTCCAAGGTTGGGGAACTGGGAGCAGCAGTTATGGAGGCTCTGCTGCCTCTTTCTAACTGGGTAAGGAGCGTTATAAGGTCATACTGAGAGGTAAATGATTTTGATGATCTTGACAGGTAGGAATACTTTGTGGGCCGTCCTCTTCTGATGGCTGAGATAAAAACAAAAACCAAATAATTAATTTTGCAGGAATTGAAAAAGCAGTTTACTAATTTTTTTTAACCAAATTACTAGCCTAAGTTCTTTTTTGACATGCTATAAACAGGATTGTTCATTCTTGTGTTTTAAAAGATAAATACCAAATACTAATTATCGTTTCTTCTCAGGAATTGCACTGGATATTGAAGGAAAATATTTGTTTTTAAATACATTTGCGTATTTTGTCTTCAAAGAAGAATATGAAATTGGACAAGATTTGATAGGAAAGACATGTATCTTTTTGCCAGGACTGTTAAAAATAAATACCTCTTTTGAATAGATATAATATCATGAACTCCTTAAATATTAATGCTAAAACCTGAAGTTAACAGATTCATGAATTCTTAAAGCGATAACCATTTCAATGGCAGAGATGCGATTGAATAAAACTGGATATTTCAGAGAAGACATTCTTAAAATTACCTTTTTAAAGATTTTACATCCAATCTGCATTTCTTTACGAACATACTTACTAAGCGCACAATTAGAACGACATAATTAACCTTAATAATCTAGCTGGTCTTTGTAAATTTCGTCAAAGTCCTCTTGGCTAATAGCTTTGCTCTGCTAATGCGCATGAAGGAGTATAAGAATATGTGGGAAAATTGCTGGTTTAAAATTCACTGAAGATAGGATTTTGTTTTCAAGCGTCACAAAACAGAATCAAGCATTCAAGTAGAGGTAACTGGACATGCTGCGGTATGGGTACCCTTATGGAACAAACGAAAACGTGTGTATTTGTGAAAATCATCCTACGCAACAGATTATTCGCCAGGAGAAAAAAAGGAAAGACATAGTTCCTCTCCCTATACTTAACTGCTGGTATAAAAATGGAAAAAAGAGACTAACAGAAATTCCAAAACGTTTTAAAACCAAATAATTTTTTCCATTGTCACTGATTCGAAATTCAGCATTCTGTCTTTTTGAAGATGAAACACTGACAGGAAAAGAAATGGAAAAAGATCTTTGAAACTGAATTGAACTCGCTACTCTTTGTAAACTTAGAGTTAGGTCGCTATTTCTTTCTAATTTTAACGGGTTGGTTGGGGAGTAGGGAGATAAATAATCTCCCTTTCTTGAAGATTCATGAAGAGTCATGAAAACTTTGTCGTCTTTTAAGACAACATATAGTTTAAGTAAATAGAACATTCTCTTACATGTAGTTATCCATGAATTGTCTGGGGAAGCTTAGTCGCTATTATCATGGTTAAAGCGGTAAAAGATGCCAGACGACTAGACAGTATCGCAATGTATACATATAAAATGGGTTATGTTCTGCTAGGATTTAAGTGATAATGTGATAGCTTTTTGAAATGTAGGTACATAAAATTTTATGCCGTGCATACAAGGGTTCTGATAATTCAACATCCCTGTTGCTAACTAAACTTACTGTGAACAGCGTTTGGAGATATAGCCGGGGGAAAGAATATATGATTTCAAAACGGCTCAGTAACTATTGGCCGAGCTTATGTCACAAAAATGAGAAAATTTGTAGTCGTTTTCGACAGTGGATACGAGGTGTTTTAAACTAGCAAGAATAAAACGAAACTTACCATCTCGCCTCATTCCAACTTGAACACATTTCTCGAATCTACAATGTTGACACTGCGTTCGGTTTTGGCGGTCGATGCGGCAATTTCCAGAAGACTCACAAGTGTAAGACAGCTTATAACGAACGGTTCGGTTGAAGAAACACTTGCACCCTTCACATGTGAATACGCCATAGTGGCGACCAGACGAAGGTGCGTTGCAGACGGCACAATCGATCGTCTTTTCTGGGTTATCGTACCAATAAACCTCATGGAGTTGCGACCAGGACATAGTTATTGGCTTTTCTAGGTTTAATAACTAGTTCTCTCAGTGCACGACCGCTAAGAATAACACACCCTGATTTCGGAGAGGAGTTAAGTGTGACATAAACCTTAATAAATGTTTAATGCATTACTTCTAGAGTTTTAATTGGAGGTTTTGGCGTGGAATTCACCGGTATGGGACAAAGGTGGTAAAGTCGCCAAAGGTGAAAAGGGTAAAATAGAGCATTGTTCGCAAAAAAAGTTCTCGATTGTTCCTTGCATTCCGTTGGACAAACTTCAAAGATTTTTTCCATAAAACAACGCAGTCTGTTTACTTATCATGCTTACTATTTAATCACTTATCATTTTACTTCATGGAACACACAGTCACATATCTGATATAATTAATTTATGTCGCTTATGAAAGGCACCATTCATCCATAAAGTCGACAGGCTCTTCAACACAAACAGTTTTCGATTCTTCTTGGGCAAGAATGAACTACATGGATGCATATGACTGAAGTGTTCTACTATGCTATATCAGCTTCATTGCAGAAACTACGTGCCTTTAAAACAGGATACTTCTCTCTCTTTTTGACGTTGATTTCACTTTAAATTGTTCTCTAAAAAGCCACGTGCCTTCGTGTTAATAATAGGGGGTATTGGTTTCTTTAGAATCAGTTAACTGTTTAACGGCCGCAGGGCAAAAAAAATGCCTCTTTAACACTTACTCGGCCGGTATTGGTGCAGTCCCCCCAAGAGATTTTTATAAATTGAAACGGCCACCGGAGTAGCTTATTGTTTCAATTGAATTCGCTCTGGACAATCAACACACCTCTAGATGTGATGTGTAGATTGTTTCTTCCTGAGCACGTGTTTGCAAAACGAGTCACGGGGAAAAAAAACTTGTTTTAGCAGAAAAGCACATACAAGAGCCTCAACGGAGAGTTACTTGATTTAATTCAAACTGATAGCAATACTAGACTTTAAATTTTTTTAATGAAGGTGAGTATTTCTACCACCAGTACTAACTGACCACAGACGCGTGCCAGGGTAAAGTTCCAGAAACTTGTGATAAATATTTCATATTAGTTTGCAAGAGAATCATTGGTTGTTTACCAAACAGTATTATCTCTAATCAAACTTAACAACTTGGTCACAAATGCATTTTCTCTTCGATACTCTCTACGGTCATCAGAATTACTGGTGAAACGATGCGAAGATAACCTTACTCACCGAGCTTCATGATCTAAACAGATGGCTGCGGTAAACAAATTACTTTATAATTCTCGTTGAGTTGTCTGTTTATTATATAAACAAATATTCTTCAACGCATTGTTTTTATCCAGTAAACTAAACGCAATATCAATTCTTGAATATCACCGTGAAGCACGAATGCATGTTTTTTGTGCAGTTTAATTTACAAAACTTTTTACGGGACAGGCAGTACTGCATTCAACAATTAGGACAGAATAAAGAAAACAATAGCCCCACGCACGTTGCTATTATCAGATGTTTTTCAAGGAATATAATTTTCCTTCCAGGTTTTAAGTGTGCTTCTTTTTCAGGTGGTATAATTATTACCTAGCGTCTTTAATACTAGTGAATTTAGACTCAAGGTGTTATGGGTTTCCTGTTTTCGCATTCCGGTCACGTTGGTTAATAACCAAGGTAATTTCCGTCTGTGTATTGGTTATCCACAGGCAATCATTTGTAGCTCTCACTTCGGATCTTTCTTTGTCTCCTGCCAGAACACAACACAACAAAACCAACCTGGAAGGTTTGTACTTTGGCCGATAAAGTTAACATTAATGGAACGGAGTTACTGTTGCTACACAAATGTTTCCCAGAACTGGCATGCGACAACAATGAATATGGTTTCACCGGAGGGCAAAGAAGCAACAGAAAAGGATCCCTCAGCCTTCTAGTTTCAAGATGAGAGTATGAAAAGTTGTTTATAACAGTGGCCTCGTGCGGGTCATTTTCCATATGTTACTAAGGGACGTGTTTCTAATTATTGTCTTTGTAAAGTGTTACAGCAACACCTTGTGGGGGGTATTACTGAAGACAATTTGGCCGCTGTAAAAAGTTTCTAGAGCTGAAGTTTCGAGCGTTAGCCTTCCGTTAACTCTTCCTCAGAACGAATGACAGCCTTACAAGAATCGCTCCTTCTTTCAAAGTAAAAAATATCCACTTTTTGAAAAAAAAATCGTGTAAATGAGTGAGTACTTGGGATTCTCAAGATATGCTTCAGTTCTGTCTTCTGCAAAGGACATGTTGTAATGAGTGTCTGGGAAAACCAGAATTTTCTCTTCATAATTTTTATCAAACCTCACAATTGAAGTTTTTGTCCCAAGAAATTTTTTCCAGCTACTAAATCTCCCATCTCGTGGCAGAAAACCACTCAAAGCTGTCAAGACCTTCAATAATTTACAGTGGAATTTAAGATATTTTTCTCAATTGGGAAACAAATTTGTAAAGCATGTTAAACTGCTTAAAATTATTTTTAAAAAGGCTGGGGCATAAGAGTAATCAAGAGTATAAAATATCAACAAAGAACTGAGAAAAAAATTTTAAAAATCAACTCTATGAAATTATCTCCAACAACCGGACATCTTCTATGAAAAAGACATTAATTGTTAAATTATTAAACGACTTTTCACATTCCTTGCAAAACAAATAATTGTAAGTTTTCAACCGGTAAAAACTTAGCGTTATATAACATAACAGTTACACAAGAATCGCGTTTTCCTTTACTAAACCTGCCAAACACTTAAGTTAGAACATCTTGATTCCTAAAGGTAAACTGGATAAGGACGTTTAATATATTTGTTACAATCGCAATGACGGGCAACAGTTTGGCAATGATAAACTTTGTTAGCGATGTTACCACACGCGGCTGCTTCTGAATCTCACCCGAGTAGGGGGGTACTCATCCTTCCTCTAGACTGACGATACCGACCGTTGTCAGAATTTCGCAAAGGAAAAGATAAATATGCTCCAGTAACAATGGAGTTAATCTCCTCTGTAATTATTACTACATACCGACTGAGCGAAAACAAATAAAACCAAACAAAGAATGAAAAAAGCGTATTTCTTAACGCCAAAACTGCAGATAATGAGAAAGGGGGTAAGTTTCTAAAGAAACTGTGGTGTTTCGTTGGTGGAGGGTATTATGAGACACTGCTTTTATCAACTGAGTTGATAATGTGAATTGACCATTGTACAGAGTTACTAAAGCTGACGTTTCGAGCGTTAGCCCTTCGTCAGTCGGTAATAAAGAAATGTTAAGGCGGCTGGACTAGTTGCAGGTCGCCGGAATCCCAACGGGTAACTCATATGATTTTTCCTTTGGTCCTCACTCGTACCTCATTAAAATAAATTTTTGAAGGATAACATTGGTTGGGAACAAAGGATGGTAAATCACTTAAATCACGGTCGCTTCTATCGCCTCTATACCATGAGTTTTTCTATTAAGACGATTTACCAGTAATAAACAAAAGAACAGACTTTCCAGTCACATTACTTTGTGTTGGATAGTTGAAACAATACACAACGTGCTTGTTTTCTCTGTTATTATCTGCTGGTCTTAACGCTGGATCCAGTTTTTTGGGAACACCTTGTACTTTGGAAAGTGTTTACCACGTAGTGAATAGTCCAGAACAATTGTTCGAAGAACCACCTCGCATAGACCATCTGTCTCGTCTGTTTCTGCCTTGAGAGAGCAAATTTGCCCAAATTTTGAGTGGTGTTCCTATTTTTATTGCTTACGTAGTTCTAAAAAATTTCATAACAACTCTCTGAGCATTACCAATTGACACATCGTAAACGCGGCCTGATTACATCGAGAGAGGATCGATTACCCAGCTTAGTCGTTGTTTTCTGTTTTATTTTGTTTTCTGTTTTATTTTCTTTTCTTTTCTTTTCATGGAACTTTTTAGTATTTGTAAATCTGATACAGCTCCCAACACACAGCCACGAGCGCCAATTGTTCCATGTGGATAAGAAACACTGGTCTTAACACTAAGTTGGCGCGTATTTTTAGATCCTGCATGGTCAACACAAGAAATTGTCACTTTACTTTCTCCTATCAGAAGAACTCTTTATGTTGAAAGTAGGCACTCACCACACCATCAATCTTCTAAAGAGAAAGTGAGGGTGGAGTACCTCCGAACATGAACTGCACCAAACACCATGGGCATCATGAGCAGAGAAAGACAAAATGTTTGATAAATCTGAACTGGGTTGAAGAAAGGCATTCCAGTAAATTTGTTGAAGATGCATTTACACTCTCCCTCCGACGCCCGGTTTTGCTTCCTCTTTTCACTTGTAAATACATCGACCTTCCTTTAAAAGCTGGAACTGTTCTTCATTTTCCTTGGCAGTATAAGTTAGCGGTGTGCCACCGTAACCAGTACCATTATTCCTTTTAGTTATCGACGTCGCAAGCTTAGAGTCCTCTTTGAACAACACCTGCGTGAGGCAACAACGCCATATCGTGCACACCCACAGATATTAAAAAGAAACGGCTAATACTGATTAGCAGAAACTTGAATTACACTTTCGTTCTCAAACAATGAGATTAAAGGAAATTAAGACTCTAAAGGAATGAACTCGGAACACAGGAAGAATCTTAGTCTCTCATGTACGAGGATTCAAACGAGAGCAATTGGATTTCGTAATCCGTTGCTCTGTACCCGTGAGCTGCAGGGAACTCCATGGTGAGCTTAGAAATATACCATGTCCATGTGTAACAAGATAACATACTGCTAAGCCATCGTGCAAAGTTACTAAAGCTGACGTTTCGAGCGTTAGCCTTTCGTCAGTCAGTAATAAAGAAATGATAAAGCGGCTGGACTACTTGTGGTTCGACGGAATCCTAAAAGGAAACTCAGATTTTTCTTTGTTTTCCACTCGTGCCTCATTAAAACAACTTTTAGAAGGATAACATTTGTTGGTTGGGAAATAAAGAATGGAAATTGTAATGTCGAGATTATCGAATGTATTAATAGAAAGTCTAAATGGGAT